TCCTGCTAGGGAGTATTACTAAAAGTGAAAATCAGTGACATTCATTGAATTTTAAACACTGAACTGAAGAGCTGTTTCTAAAATCTGTTCTGAGAAGTCATTCTTAGTCAACAGTTTCTCTTTTTACTGCATGCTTTGTTACCTCTGTCGGCCAGGCTATTACCGCTGTAATACAATTTTCTGCTTACTTAATGGCACAGTATCTTGCATCTAGATAATGGCAAATGGAGTAATTTTGAAGACGAATTAGATATAATGTAAAATTATACTTAGGCTGAAAGGCCAGGTAGAATCTCCCACTTCCCAATACTCCGAAAAGCGTGACTGAACGAGATGGGGAGGTGACTAGCTGCCTGGTCTCAGTGTGCCTGCCAGTCTCCAGTAGTAGTTGGCAAGGGAAAAAAATGGTCTTTGCAAAAACACATGGGGAGCATCAGCTGCAAAGTTAGGTGCCTTTCACTCCTTCAGGACTTCCTGCATGTATCTTAAAGTAAGTACAACGTCTCAGAGTCTCTGAACTGTGTTACCATCAGTTCCATCTTTCTCTATTTGCATAGTAAAAATAAAGCCACAGTTTGGATTCTGTTTTGCCTAGGAAATGTCGAATATTTTAGGTTGTTCTCTACTTCCCAATCACCAAACTGTACTTCAGCACTCTATGCAACTTTCAACTTTTGCCTGCCATATTTTTTGCCCCCAAAACAAGTTACAGGAAGAAAATCAGTTAATTCAGCAATAAGAATTTAAGAACTTCAAATACTTTGTGTAGAATTAAACAACACTAACCTCTTTAATTTTTTCCAGTTCGTTCTGTAGTGCTTGTTTGGCAATTTCAACTTCTATAAGCTGCTGTCTTAATTTTTCATTTTCATCTTCTGTTACGGTACGTTTTTCTTCCACATTTTCTAACTCATGGTGAAGTCTCACCGATACATCTTTTGCAACCTAAATGAAATGACATTTCAAAAGAAAGATTAAAAAAAATAATAATTACTGCTGCAGTGCTTAGCACTTAAGTAACCATTTACAGGTTAATTCTGGGTGTTTTGATGGAAGTGGTATGAAAGGAAATGTAGACAAGGACATCCACAGACAGAGTTCTAAAGGATTCAAAATTCAAGCCAATTCCTTCCAAAAATGTTATAGTCTTCCTATGGACTTCACTGGAAACCACATTAGAAAAGAAACCCCAACTCCTTCTTAGATGTTGAGTCAACAGTGAAAGAGGACCATCATTATTCCTGGAGACAGTGCAGCATCTATTTTCTCCCAATCACTGCTAGCTTATGCTTTTCAAGGCACTAAGGTATGTGCCCTTCAAATACTTGACATGTAGATGCATCTAAAAGCAGTGTCCACCTTCTTCAGGCCTCCTATACATGTGCCTGGTATAGGACCACAAACAGACACATCTTTATTTTGATCCTGCTAGTTTATCTGTCCTTCATGAACAATATATCTGGCATTTACTACTATGGGCTAATTTAAAGAGTAAAATATGAACAAACAACATCTTTACTGACCTTATGTTCACCCAAATGATGTCCAATATTTTAAATGAAAATGAACACTAAGATTTTTGCTTTTTTCTTTTTTTTAAATGCATTTTCACAGGAATAGAGTTAAAAGGCACATGTCAAGATCTAATTCCTCTTCTTCAAGTAAAGCAGTAAGAATTTTGCCATTCAGTCCACTTGCATTGTATTTTGTGAAACCACCAGAAACTATAATCATGCACCAAAAATATTTAAATGTACACTAATCACTGTTATGATGGTGATTTAGACACACAGTTTGAAAAGCCTAATTTTCTGCTTTTTTTAGACCATTGGAAAATATAATTAATCCTTCTTAGCATTAGCTAGGGGAGCTCAGAGAGCTATCCTTTATGGCTTTCACCAGAATGATCTTTATGTTTGTATGTCAAAGAACTCTCTTTGACATACTAAAACTCTAAAGAAAAAACCTAATAATTGTAAGCAAGCAGTTGTCAAGAATCAGATCTATCAGAAAACGGCAGCAGCTAGTGACTCAGCCTCCCCTGACAAGAAACCCAGTGTGTGTGAACTACAGATACAACACTGCAGTGTGGCACAAGATCGTTCAATAACCTCCCCCACTGCACACACACTCAAGACACATAATGCCCAACAGAAAGGGAGAGTGGAGGGGAATTTCAATTATAATCATACTCCAAAAGGACTGAAGGATGAGCTGAGAATCACACCACAGGGCAATATCTTGATGCCTTTTCCTATGCTCGGTATTAAACTGCTCATCTGGCTGTCCAACCAAAGTAAATGGAAAATCATAGGGGACATCTTTAACAGCATCCTATCAGATTCTGCCTTTGGTTCATAGATACAGTCTGTGTCAGTAAATACAACAGAATAACAAAATCATTACCAGTAGGTTTTTTGACACAAGATTTGGTGGAGTAGCAATTAATGCAGGGAAATCCTACAGAGCATTCTAGATCATATGGGAAACGTGACTCACTTACGCAAGACACTATCTCTGAACAATTAAGTCCCCTAATATATTACCCATGCACAGAATTGCACATGAGTTACGATTATGGTTACCCAGCACCAGGAATTCAATTAGACAGAAATTTGGCATTAGATGTTCATCCCTACTCCAAAGCGGAACACATTCATGAGCTGTGGGAATGCTTTGCAAAAACACTATTCCTTTGCGAACAGTCAGTTGTATGGTTATTGGGAAAGACATGGGAGAAATCCTAATTAAAGTGAGCCCTTTGCCCAGCTCAACCTAAGGCCTTAGCTGCTACCTCCTATATTGCAGGGGAGCCTCCCCGGGCCCTGCGCATGTGTTACTTGCTAATACAAAGTAACGCGTTGGGTCAACAAAGAAATCAACTCTATACGCTGGGATCACAATATTCACTTGGGACACGAAGGCTCACGTTCAAATTCTGCCTGCAGGGGTGCGTGTCTCAACTATTCACCTAAGCATCATTCCCGGTGTGGAAAATGTCCCTTGCTTCGACCAGCAATTCCACCCCACCCATGACAAAGGCGCCATTTTGCTTCTGACCAGGAAGACAGTATTTTGTCAAGGGCCACGTGAACAGCTGTAGTTACAGAACTGTCATGGCCACAACAGCAAACGTCGGTTTTGAATATGCCCAGGCAAGGAACATCAAATAGAAATACAGAGAAAGATATTGGCATTTTAAATTGGCATTAGTGAGAAAATTACTGGAACGTGTCTTGGAATGGTGTCTACCTTTTAATAAGAATGATGTCAAGCTGGAAAATTTTCAGAAAAGATGATCCAAGTCTGCAAACCAGGGTTGGGAATAACAGACTCTCAATCCATTTTACTTATCAGAAAGAAGTTTAAGAATGACCTTGTTCCAAATCATGTGTTAAATTAGCGTTTTGAACTGCAGTCCACTGAATCCAACAAACCATAGGTCCTATAGCCATAGCCATAGTCCTACAGAGGACAAATGTTGCTATACAGAGGCCTGTACTTCCGTGAGAAATGGAGGGAGACCTGTTAACTGAAAAAAAGTTTAGAAGTCCTGATGAAGCAGAAATCTTAACAAAGTCTAGTGGATGGAAGCAGAAATCAAACAACTTCCAACTAGTGCAAGAAAGGTTGGCTTTGTTTTCTGTAATTGGATGGATCTAGAATGGAGATGATGGATATTTTACCAATAACAATTTTTAAACAAGGACTTGTTTTCCTCAGCAATGGGCTGTGGTTCATTCAGATGTTATGGATTAAATACAGTTGATTACACATTGAAATTTGATGTGCCTATGGTTTCATGTGGTTGTGGGAAATCCTGCCTTCAATGAAGATAACAGCAGTTTTTTCACTGACACCAACGGAGTCAGGATTTCGTGTTGTGACTCTGCAAGTATTCAATCTACCAGTCCTCTGAAATCTTTACTAAAAAGAGTATAGTAATCCCCTCAAAGTCAATGGGATGATTCAGTGAGGTTGGTTTAATTCTGCAGTGGTAGGGCATGTTTTGTGTTCATCATAAAAGATCCCAAACCTCTAGATCCTATTTTGTATTTGAGTCACTTCTTACACATTAACTTTACAAAAAATGATTGGACTAAAGCTGAAAACAGCCTACCTACATACTGAAGGGCTTCTATTACCAACGTCTGCTGGGCCATTGCTATCCTATGAGCTGCATTGGATGCACAGTGTACGACAGAACAGATGGAAATGCCTGAGTCATGAGGACTGAGAGCACGCTCGTGTCTCTGTCTGAGGTGCTCCCTCCCCTTGACACCTGCACACGTCTGTACCTTGAGGTCCTGCTCCATGCTGCGCAAGAGCTCGCCGTCGATCTCGCCGGTCTGGGCATAGCGGAGCCTCTTGCGCTCAGCCTTGCGCAGCCGGTACTGAAGGATCCGGCAGTTCTTGTTGGCTCGCTCCAGTTCATGCCGCATTTCTTGAAGCTGACAAGCATCCTCCTCGAAGAAACTGTCCCTCATCTCGTCCATCTCTGTCCTCAGCTCATCTATCTCATTCTGGCATCGGGGTGAGAAGGGGACAGGGACGCCACAGGTGGGTCAAAAGCACAAATGTCAGTACGTATAGGGGAAGGCGGCCAAAATGGAGCTCCTGCCCGCAGGGACACCAGCTAAATACAACCCAGCTCATTAAAAGCACCGCAAGGAAGCCGGGAAGTGGCCCCAGGACAGGGCCATCTTAACTCTGCCTCCGGCGCTAGTGCCGGGGGAGAGAGCGGCGGGAAAGCCCCTTCCCGGCGCGGGGGTGGGGAGGCCGCCCGGCCCCCGCCCGGCCCCGCTTCCCTCCATCCCCCCACGCCCG